CCGTAAAATTAGCTAAATAAAAATTTCCTTAAAAGCAATTTTAATTCTTATTGAAATAACTAAAAAAATAACAAAACTGTAGTTTTAATTGAAAAAAAGAAAAAAATAAAGCTATAGTTTTTATTAAAATAACTATAAAAAAATTTATTGGTAGATATTTTTTAGATTTTGTAGATTTATCTCAAGTGGATGGTAAATATTTTTTTTCGTCAGTGGCAACCCTGGTGCATAGGCTAAATACATACATACATATCGTCGCCTGGGTAAAAGATTGTCGTAAGCGCAGTTTTGACGATTTTTAGTTATAGATGCAGTAAATATTTTGAAATAAGGTCTTTCGATTGGTGTTATCTGTTTTTAGATATCTGCTTTAGTTTCCGAGATATTGACTACAATTTTTTCGATAATTTAGTAAAAATTTAGTTAGTGATGCAGTCTTATTAAATTGAGTATAAAGTGTCGTTAATTTAGTTGAAACTTCGATCTCATTTTGTTGTATATCATACAATGTGGGTGGCTGCCAAACTGTGGACAAATAACGCTTACGACAAAATTTTACTAAAGAAAATCCTTCATAAACTCAAAAGTAATTAACAATAAACATTAAATATTAAATAATTTAAGAATTTTATGAACTAGTAAAATTTTCAGAGACTGGAGAAATTTTATCCTCGCGTTTTTGAGAAATTGCATTCCAAACTTCAATCGCGATTTCCTAAAACCTGCCGAAATTAACATATGACAATCTTTTACCCAGGCGACGATATGTACATCAGTGTTGCCATTTTAGCCCTTTTCCGGCTAGATTTAGCCGGTTGCGATAGCAAACAGCAGGAGAAATTTCAATTTAGCCGGCAGCCGATTTGTTAGCCGTTTTGCAGAAAAAAATTAGCCGTTTTTAGCCGATTTTGCTATTTGCCTTGTTTTCTTAAATTTCAAAAATGTATATATGTTTCCATTTTTGACTAAGCGACCCAAAATCTTTTAGAAATGGCTACTAACCTTATCGTGGAAAAAATTTTCATCTCAGGCAGGATTTTATGAAATTGGGCCGATTTCGCTTATTTTTATTTTAAACGAAGAAGGAGTTTTCTACATAAATTGTTTGTTATAAATGTCTTAATTTTAAGTGTGAAGATTTATTCGCAAACTTAGAAAATAAGAAATTGTTGCACTGTTAAGTCTCTTAAGATTGGATATAGTGCCAACAAACAGAATAAATATTACATGTAGATATTGTCTTCCCAGATAGCGCATATTCAATTCTGCCCAAGGCACATTAAACAGGTAGTATCAGTAGAGCAAAAACAACATTTGCGTGTATTTTGTTGTTGCTTCTGGTATCGAAAGTGTCAAAAACTGTTCTGAATTTTTTCTTCTAAATCAAAGCGTGCCATGTGAAATACAAAAAATTATAAAAAATAAAAAATTGAAATTGGAAAAAATAAAAATTGATGCAACTTTCTTTCCTAGTAAATTTGTTTGCTTCTCGAAGCATTGATCCATCCTTTGCAAGGCCCAGTAATCAGCGGTCGTGCTGCCGAGTTGGGCGAACGTTCCAAAAGCTGCTATTCAATCGCTTGTTTTGTATGGGAAAAGGTTTCACATGCAAATGGACTTTAACAATTCAGAATTTTTGTGAGAAAAAATTAAAAATATTTGACATTTTCGAGACCAAATAATTTGAAAATAAATCAAATCAGCTGCTCTACTGATACTACCTGTTCAAAGTACCTTGATTCTGCCTAAATTACAAAATATCATTCAAATATCAAATATTCAAATATCAAATTGATATTTTTAAGCACTATATACACATATGTATTTTTTTAAACAAACTATTTTGCTGAGAACTTATTTAAATTCCAAAAACCGAATGCCAACTTGAATTAAAGGAACCAACACTAAAGTGAGTCAAAATGAAAATAAAAGAGCACAAATTTCTATGTAAAGCAAAACTCTCTGGGAATCCTACGAGACATCTGCCGGTCATCTAAATGCAGTCTTTTGGCATCATATTTTACATCAGAATTGAAGGGATTTCTGAAAAATCTGACCAGTTCTTTTGTGTAACTGTAATTTTGCATGCCTTGTCAACATATGGCATCGGTTGATGTTAACTTAAGGTCGTTGTTTTACTGCCTTAAAATTGAAGGGAAATTTGTACAGCGTTTTTTATGTGTATTGGTTTCTATTTGAGTTGAGAATCGGTCAGTCTGAAAAGGCCTTGTAGGGAAGACAATAGGTTTGTTCGTCGAAAATCCAGCGAGAATTATCACTCAAAATATCAGATAGTAAGAAAAAATGCTCCCAAAATTTCTCTCATGTAGAGAAACTTGTAATTTTCTGTACGAACGCAAATTTGAAAGTTTTTCTGCCAGCTAGTGTCCACGGTTGCATTTCAAACAAAAGAAATTTGTATAGAATTTTATATCTTGTCAGTCCGACTTTCTTCAACATACGTTTGAATTTCTTCGTCGGGTTTACTATATCGACTCTGGTTGAGATTGCATTCCGATTAAGAATACAGTTTTTTTTGCCGAGTACCTTGCAAATCATTGGAATTAACTAAATTAATTAAGTAAACAAGTATTAACTTACATTTTTCGTTTTAAAATCGCTCCAACTTGTAAATTTTTAAATTTAACGAACTTGTTTATTCAAATTATCGTCGACAAAAAATCCAACCATGTGCCACAATCATATGTTTTTCGTGATTGCAAATTCTTGCTGGCAAATTTTTTTCGGCTCGAATTTGTAACTTCTCTCCAAGAAATAGTCTTTTTACTCGTGATTTATTTAAATAAAACATGTGAAATTTAGTTGAAACATTTTAGCCGTTTTTAGCCGGTTTTATTTGCCAATTTAGCCGGTTCGCCCAAAAAGTTCTGGCAACACTGATGTACATACACTAACAAGAGTACCACCAGAGCTGCCAACTATCATTGGCTATGAGGCGCCATATTAAGGATAAAAAAGTGCCAAAATGTGCCAAATAGAAAATAAAAGTGCCAAAAATGATGCCATCCTTTTTAGTCCTTCCGATTTAGCAATAAAAAAGAACCAAATTTCTAAAACAAAAGTGCAGTGTCAAAATAAGATAAACCAGTTGGATAATCTTTAAAAATTAGAAAATTTTAGTTGAGAAAAAGAAGTACACGCGAAGGATTTCACAAAAATGTATTAAAATATTACTATTTTTGAAAAGTACTAAGTACTTTTGGTACTAAGTGCCAAATTGAAAAATTAATTGCTATATGTGGTAAAATAGGGCAAAAAATGGCACGGTTTGAGTCAAGTGGGCGGCCCTGAGTACCACCAAATTGACAGTTTGTCGCCTAAAATGCCACATCAAAAATTGCTTACGATAAGTTAAGTTTTAACTAACCGCCAATACAGTTTCTCATATAACAGGTTAGCCAAAATATTAAGTTAAGTTACGGAAATTAAGTCTAGACAAACTTAGCTTTAAGCTAGGGTCTACGCTAATAACTCGCTTACGCATTAACACATTCTTGTCCATCTTCTCCGAATTGTCAATGCTGCGTGTACTTCTCCCCACAACTTTCACCGACCTTTCAACGAGTATCAATTCGCGCACATGGCCAAAAATCAGAAAATATTGGGGAGAAAATGCAAACCACGCGAGCTGTTGACGCTGTAAATCTCATTTTGCAGAAATGCAGAATGCGAACAAGCACTTAACATGTATGTAAATATATATGCATAAACATACAAATGCGTATTGTACTCATGCACATGCATGTAACAATGATTAGAGGGTTGTGTAGTAAGGGTGAGTAGTTCGGTAAGGGAACGTGAGCGCCACAGCGGGGTAGTAACAATTTTGCCAAAGCCAAAGCAGATAATGCGAACCGAACACAAAAAATTGTCTTTGCTAATTCAAAGCATTAAAAGGTATGAATATGTACTAACAAAGGAAAGGAAAATAAAATAAAGCGCACCCGAAACAGTACTGCAATGCGTTTGGCGATTTGGGTTCAAAATAAATAACCACGTAGCAAAATGCGAGCGAGTGTGAGCAAAGAAATTCTGTTGCGAAGAGCGCAACAGCAACTAAGCGAAGAAGCAACTAGACGAATGTTAGGGGAAACGCACAGAAGAGCAGTAGCGGTAATACACCTATTCTGAATATAAACCAAATTTGAGCACAGATGCCGAATTTTTAATTATATAGACTCACGCGCCACATAACTGCCAAAATTTTTTGTGTAGTTATTTCTTTTCATGTAAGCAATATGCATTCTAAATGTGAACTTAATCGGATCATAAATACGGGTTTTCCAAATATCTCGACTCCTGCGCCA